TTGTACTAATTCTCGGTGTTATTCTCATATTTACTTTCAAAATAAAAAACNTCTCAACAATTAGCTCGGGCACTTCTTTCGAGCTATCAAGAACACCGGACGCGAATTTGCATAATAAAACTTATCAATGTTGTACTAATTCTCGGTGTTATTCTCATATTTACTTTCAAAATAAAAAACCTTGGTGCAACTACGAGCTACGTTGCTCCAAGCGACAAAATGAATATAGGTCAAATTTAAAGAAACGCCAACCTGAAGCAAATAGTTCAATTAAAATTAAAACTAGTTCTTTCGATCAGTTCAATACCGTAATTCATTGAACAAACCAACTAGTTCGTGAACTTCCAACTCTGCAAGGAACGCAATAAGGTAATTGCGGCAAATGGCAATGGAGTACACGCTAGAAACGGTAAATTTGGCATCGCCGCATATGGGGACGTATGGAGAATCTAGGACGACACAAATTTTTACTCCATATGTATTGGATAGATTTCAATGAAATTTGGTATTTAGGGGTTTCGTCGTCACTGGTTTCGAAATTTACATCCAATATGGCGAACGACTTTTTTTTTAATGACATATGTTATGAAACTTGGTATCCAGGGGTTTCCGTCCTGACTGATTTCGAATTTGAAATTAAATTAAACTTAAACTTAGTTTTGATTTATTATGTTATAATTTTAAGATATCTGGAGTCGTTTTCTAAAGTTATCTGCCCTTTAAACACAAAAGATTGTTCTGAAAATATGCTTGAAAAGGGCAGATAAATTAAGAACTACTTTGTGCTTAAGCTACTACTTTCCGTTCAAAGTCAACATTGTAGACTGGTTTATAAAGAGTATTTTATAGGTATGTGTGATAAGGTTTAAGGAATTTTGTTTTTCTATTTTCTGTAGAATATTTTTAGGTACCAAAGTGCCTACCAAATCAGTTTCAAAACTACCAAATTTTTTATCATCTGAGTATGAGATTTCATTTTATTTCATATTTTATTACTTTGGTAAATACCGGATCACATGATTGCATTATTGTACCCATTTGTACAATTGTTTATTTGATGTATTGCTATAGACTTTAAAATTCTAAAACCATTTAATTCGAAATTCCTTTTGAAAATTTATAAAAATTGTTTATCATGATGGAGGCAAAGCCCCACATTTCCCGATCACAAAATTTGGGCACCAATTTACGCAACATTTTTGGAAAATTCCCAATCATGTTATCCGGCCTTAAGAAATATGTCTTCGAGATCATTCCAATTTATATGGGCAAATATAAAAAACAGGCGCTCTTTCAAAACAAAAAGTTTAATTTTTCAATTTGTGGGCACACCTCTATTTTGTATATGATTCTATTCGCAATCTCTTAATAAATCGATAAATAAATATGTCTAGGGGTAACTCATTTTCATAAAGTGCTTCAAAATTTAGACGAGGAATAAACATTTAGATCGCTGAATTAGAAAACAAAAAAATAAGCTGGGTTCAAATTACGCCGTGCAAGTTGTAAATTTTAAGCAAAGATTTTGAAAAATGAACTCACTTAATTGGGACGTTCTCAATTCAATGACATCCCCCCGTTTTACCAGATTGGCTCCGGTTTTCGAGATAACGGTACTTGAAAATTTGATAAAATTTCAACTATTTTATAAATAACTTCCTCAGTTTTGAAGTTATTTTAGTAAAATTTTACACATAGCGGGTTTTTAATATTACCTTAATTATTCCTTAAAGTTATCGAAATAGGTTCACTCTCTAATACAACTGATTACTCAGATATGTGTTTTTGAGCTATAACTGTAACTTCATGTCTAAATAATAAATTGTATGCGTGAACCTACGCAAAACAACGTCTCTGAACAATCAGTTATAGTTATAGTGAACCGATTTCGAGATAGTGAAAGTAATTTTAAAATACAATCGTGTGCAAAATTTTAGTAAAATATCTTCAAAACTGGGGAGTTTTTTATAAAATAAGAAAAAAATTAAGTAAACTTTCAAATACCGCTATCTCAAAAAGTGGAGCCAATCGGGCAAACGGCTGCAATTAAGCAAAAGCAGCTATTTGAACCTTTGTCGAAAAAAAGGTGATTTGATGCTGCGCTAGAAATATTCAGACTACAAAAAGGAGCATCATTGAGAGTAGTAAATGAGAAGAGAAAATGTGTTTGAAGCATTTTACAGATATATGTAACGATGTAAGGACTAGTAGTTAAAAAAAGATTTAGATCGCTTCGACGTATTTTCCAAATGTGCCTTCAATTAATTAATGTTTTTGGAATAAAAATTAGGCACAAGATCGCAGAATATTTTATCTTTAAAAGTTGGTTTATTCTGAAAGCACACCTCACCAAAAATATTTATATAGCTGGTATAGCAGCGCATGTATACGACTGAAGACCTTTCCTGATCTAACTCAGTCGATATACCGTTTTCTAATAGCATTTGCCAATGTTTTCATTTATTTGACGACATTGTCATTGAATTTGACATAGTGAAAACAAGGCTTTACCATCTGCCAAGTGGAGGGTTAAGGCCACGGTCGCCACTTGAACATAATGAAGGGACCAAACATTTATTACCATTTAAATTATTTGTGTGGGTACTTTTTCGCGAGTATTTTTTTCATTCCTCGAAATTTTGTGGGAAATACCCCAAAAAAATCCCCGAAAATTTGAGCTCTAATATTAATATTAAGTGCTCGACCAAGGCGGGTAAACTTAGATTTTTTCTTCAAAATTCTACAGAACAGAAGCATTTTATGGTATAATCTTTTTCAATGATAGGGTTTCCTCAAAATTGAATGCTCTACAAAAGTATTGCGGCGTAACCGATTTTCCCGCCAGCGAGGTAGTACGGGTCACTAAACCCGTATGAAATTCTCGGGCTTTTGCCCCTATCTCGTAAATAAAAAGAGATACAAAAAAGTTCTGGAACACCAAATCGCTAAGTTTAGGTAGTGTAGAATTTTCACAGATAATTGAACTAAATTGTAGAAATTGTTGATCAACTTCAAAGCCCAATATCCCAAGAAGTATCAACGTTAGCGATTTTGTGGGAAATTAAATTTCCTACATGTTTGTCATTTACATACCGTACTACCTCGGTGGGGGGATTTAGGGTTACGCTGCAATATACGTTTTTGGAGAGTATTCAATTTTGAAGAAGCACCATCATTGACCAAGATTATACCATAATATGCCTCTGAGCTATAGACTTTCGAAGAAAAAGAATCAAAGTTTACATGTATTTTAATCGGGGAATCTTTAATCGCCTTGGTCGAACACTTAATGTTAATATTAAGGGCTAAAACTTTCAGGGAGCTTTTTTTTAGGTATTTCCCACAAAATTTCGAGGTCGGAGTATTCGATGAAAAAACACCTCAATGTGCATATCGACTGCTGAGTGGAAGATTGACCTATCTCGGCAGCCAGTTCGAAAACGCCCTATTTCAAAAAACTTTTCAAGAAAGCTCTATTTCAGAATTTTGAAATAACAGCCTATCTCAGAATTTGGTTGAAGAACGCCCTATCTCCGAATCCGGCTCAAAAACGCCCTAACTCACATCAAAATGTATTGCAAATGTGCTGAAATAGGACGTTCTTCAACTGAAGTCTGAAATAGGACGTTCTTTAAAAGTGTTTTGAGATAGAGCGATAGGTCGATCTCCCACTCAGCAGTCGATATATAAAAAGTATTTAAAAACAAAAGAGAATAATACCTATTTAAAATCTTTGGATTTGTAGTGTCATAAAAATTAGTAGGGTCGCGATATATTAAAGTTTTGCCTATTTTCTTTTTGTTTGATTAATGTTTATTAATTATTTGTAAAAGTATAGCTCATCTACCAAAAGCTATGGAAATCTGCATTTCAAGCTTTTTGCAAAAATTATAAAAATTTTGCAAGTTCCACCAAAGTTTCAAGCTTTTTATTTAGAATACTAACAAAAAAATCGGCATTGTAGTCCATAAAATTCTAGTACAATAAAGTGCAAGTTTCAAGTAGGGTCAAAACCCCCGTAGATTTTTACATTTTTTTATGGCAGTCTCATACAAAGTACGTTCGAAAATTTTTTCTATACATACATATATCCAATTTAATAGACACGCTTAAAATACAAACAAAACTCAAAAGCTGAAAGTTCTTAAATTTTCTTAGCAGTGTGCACTTATCGATTATTTCCAGTGCTAATAAACGTTCAATGTTAAATGAGACGAATTAGAAGTACTAGTTTTTAACACTTTTCAAAACTTTTATTAAAATTGAAAAAATATAAAATAAATAGAAAATATTAAATATTTAATAAATTAGAAAAAAAAAAACATTTTGCAAAAGTAGGGTCCAAGGGGCCAACGAAAACTTATGGGACCAGTTTTGGTCCAAATGAACCAAATGTGGCAACCGTGGTTAAGGCAGCATTAACGCTCTCATTTAAGTATGTATTTGCCATCCAAACGTGCGCCGCATTCTTGCTAACACCATGCTACTCAGTGGAGAGGTGCGCATGTGTAGATTACATTAAATACCTACAGTTGAATGTTGCGTGGTACGCTGTCCGATAAATGTATACATATGTACATATGTACAAATGCACCTACTTACGTATATACTTCGTTCATATCTACATATAACCACACATCTGTACATATACACACATACCTTACATATATATCTATGTACATAGTACTTATGTCATACACACAAGTTTGTTGTTTCTATTGGACCCACTGTACGGCAGCATCCGTAGCTTCTGCCAGTTGGGGTGGCCAACAGATATCAGCACCACAACAAATTTATAGTGAACATCTCTCAGTTCCAGCAATATAAGACCAACAAAAAAGGCAAAACCGTGACAGCACCAACCGCCGAAACGGTAAACATCTATTGTTTTATTTTTATGTTAGCTATCGAGTCTGTCAAGTAATTTCATGTCTTTGGTGATGGCCAACTGAGCCTGGTCTAAACACTTGGTGTTCATTGCTGTTTGGGAGTTAGTCGTGTTCGGACGTGTTTTAAAGAGCTGTGCATAAAGTTGTTCGCTTTGCTCCAAATGAGCTTTTTCCATTTATGGTCAAATATGTATATTTATATATGTTTGTATGTATACATACTTCATATCTAAACTCACGTATGTATATACGTGGCGAACATCGGTTGCATTGATGCGAGTTTAAAGTTGAAAACTTATAAAAAGTGGTTTGAATAACAAGATTTTGCAAATTAGAAATTTGCTATTAAAAATTCATTTGGTTAGTTTCGTAATATTCACAGATAATTAAGGTTGACCTGTGAGTGTGTACAAATACTAAAGCATCACATACATACATATGTATGGTCTATAAAGTGATTTTCAAGGTGTGCAAAATATTTTGTGTTGTATTTTTATAATACTACCTACATATATCATTTGTAACCGTATTATGTTACTTTATTAAAAAATATTTAATAAATATTTACATAAATACCTATGTATAATGAAAAATAACTGAATATAGAGGCAGCGGTGATTGCTACCTGATTTATGTGTTACTATTTTAAGAAAAATAGAAATTCCGTGGGCAGGATCCTAAAACGAAACCATATACATACATATACATAGCTGAACGGAACATGGCTGCGCCTAAATTGATTATTCAACACATCATAATCGGATTACTTTGCTACTATTGTGAGTATACCTATAAAAGATTTGTTACATTTGGTTTGATCACACCTTGGTGTTTACTGAGTTATAACCGTCATTGAGTTTCCAAGAACGAAGTACACCGAAGAATTTGATCATCTTTAACCAATTAACCCATTAACTAGGAAAGTGGGAAGAACTTATTTAATTGTAAATAGGTACATACATATGTACATAAGACTGCATCACCCCCCCATGGAAAAAAAAATAAAAAATCGGTACTGTTTTTCCACTGGAATTGTAAAATCTATTATACTTTAAGACTTCCACCAAAATATCTCGGAAAAATATTAAGATTTACGTGAGCTGGACCGATTTGAAAATACCTGCAAAAATTTAGTTTGTTTTATTAATAAAAAGTTTTTTTTAAGCATTTTTTTTTAAATCACCTCAGATGACCAAACAGTTTAAGCTTAAAAAATTTGAATAAAAATATTTTTAAAAAATTTTCTAAGGAATCATAATAATGAGATATTTGCTGCTGTTTTGAACTTTTTCAAAAAACTGGTTTAGGGAAAACTTTAATAACTCAGCCAAAACCTTACCAATTTACACTTCTCAGGTATCATTGGTAAGGTATTTTCTTACCCTTTCAATTTCTAAGGAATCATAATAATGAGATATTTGCTGCTGTTTTGAACTTTTTCAAAAAACTGGTTTAGGGAAAACTTTAATAACTCAGCCAAAACCTTACCAATTTACACTTCTCAGGTATCATTGGTAAGGTATTTTCTTACCCTTTCAATTTCTTTGCGATTAAGCTCATTCAAAGTATGAAAGAGGAAGGTGAGATAAACGAGTGTCATTCCATGTTGAATTGTGATGTGTTGGTATTTGCAAAGAAATAAAAAGTCTGAGAAAATACCTTTCCACTGATACCTTACAAGTCTATATCGGTTTGAAGCAGTTACTCAAGTTTTTCTTACACAACTCTTTGAAAAAAGTTAAAACAAAAAACAGCATCAAAACTCCCATTATTATGATTTCGTTCATACAAAATTTTAATATTTTTTTGTAGATTTTTTAAGCTTAAACTGTTTTGTCCTCTAAGGGGACTTTTTCCAAGAAAAATGCAACTTTTTTTGGTGATGCCGTCTAATGTACATAGACATCATTTCTTGTATTGAAAAATGAATTCAGGTAAAAATTAGTTATGTGCACATACAAATACATATGTATATATGTATGCAGTGTATGTCCTTGCAAATATAATAAAATCTTACATCGCATCTATATGCACCTGCATTAATCTGTTGCATATTTGTTTGTTTGTTTTTTTCAATAGAAATTGTTACAGTATGCATATGTTTACGTACACATTAGGGGTATTCTCTGAGGCTTGTAACGCCCTTGCACGGTGCACAGATTGCATGGTAAAAATCGGTTTTCGTACGGCACAGCTTTGCAAAACGTACAATCCGCGCACCGTGCAAGGGATTTGCAAGACTCAGAGAATACCCCTATTAAATTATAAAATCTTTAGTTATACGCACGTATCTATGGATACGTACATATGTATGCATGTGTATATATTTATATACATATATATACATTCATAGCCCTGCAGAAAAAAATTATCAATTGTTAAAAAATAACCCACTTGTAGTTAGTTTTTTGCGGTATTTCTATAAAATATCGCTAGCTTAGAAAAAATCTTCCTATAGCCATTTTCTTTAACTATTTCGCAAGACTTTGAATCAAACATTTTGCGCGTTTAAAGCAAAGCAAAACTCCATAAGAATCAGAAGGATTCGATGTCGTATTATTTTGGCCTTATCGGATTTGTGGTGCTTCTTTTGGACTTTTCCTTTTATAGCTTATGAAGAGGAAAAAATAAAACAAGTACCTTTATAATTTTCGAAACGATGCGTATTCAATTTCTCTAGCCTCCTATATCAAAATATGAGCTTTCATAAAAAGTGGACTTAATAACTTTTCACTCTAAGCTAGCGATATATAACTTGTAGTTACCTACAAAACGCTAACTTAAAACTAGTTGACAAATATTGCAGCAGTAATGCAGGAGATTGTTATCTTTAAACGCGTTTCTATTTAAATATCCTGCACTTCGCAAATACTTTTTCGAATTGAGGGCAAATAAAAGGAAAATCGAAATTTCATATTATCATTTTGAAGTTATGTCTGACGGAGTTCGAATATGGGACCACCTACAGCAGAATATGTAAACAAATATGAAATGTAATAAAATAAAATAAATAAAGTAAATAAATAAAAACATAAAAAAATATTTTGTTTTTCCAGCTGATATTTTATGTCCAAAAGTAGTTAGTTACAAGTTAGTTACATCAAATGCCGAGACAACCATCCTTGACTACATCAAATGCAGAGGTAACCACCCTTGACTTGGCCATCGCCATAAAAATATAGTTAGCTGTCATCAAAGAAAATATGCAGATAATTGTGACTTTTGGATCCTTCCTAATCCACTTAAAGTTAGCTTATAGTTAGATACATTTCCTGCAGGGTGTTAGTAACTCTGACCGATCGGTTTACGCGCTCACTTACGCCTGCTAACTGCTTCTGGTTGTCTTGATATTTAAGACGATGCACATATGTATGTTCGTATAAGTATATATGTACATATTTGTGTGTCTATACCCAGTACGAAAGAAACTAGTTTAAATATCGATGTTCAATCAGTTTTTTGCCCACCACAACTAGTTCAAGATCTAACTTTCTTCCTTGGAACGAACGATGTCCTAGGCATTATCCGAATCTGCATTTGATTTCAACTACTTTAAAAGTCAGTACGTTCTTTTTGAATACGCTTTCGTTTTGAACTTCCCAGATGATTTTTCATAATTACGAAAAACCGAAATAAAAAATTTGAAATTAAATGTTCCACCTAATAAGATTTGAATCCGGAGCAGCGTCCGGACTTTGCTTCGATCGGAGTAGATTTACTCCGATTTCGTTTTTAAATTTAGGATCTACTCCCTCCTCTGCTTGACCTAAAATATGCTCCGATTTACTTATTATGTATGTATAAGGAGCCTAGTTATCTATATGGCAAGCTTATTTTCCCAAAGTCAGCTCGAACTAATGACTTGATAGTACCAAGTTACAATTATCAAACCTCTGCGCGGCTATTCTTTGTCAATGCTATTCGTACATGGAACTCTATTCCAATGTCCATTCGCAGTAGTCTAAATAAAAGCAACTTGAAGTTCGTTCTATATTCGTACTTTCGTTAAAACAAATATATACATCCGTATATATTTTGCATAATTATGTGTTTCGCTATCTAAATATATATTTTTCAGCCAATATGGATAATCATTGTATTATTTTTAAGTTTGTGTTCATTATAAATCTTAGTTCTTAGAATTTTCATTATTGTTATTCTTATGTTTATTATAAATCTTAGTTTTAAGAATTACTATTTATTTTATTTTTCTGACACTCCTTTGTTACTTGTTGTACTATAAAAGATCGTAGATCTTATTGTACTATGGTTTTTTTTCGCAATAAATGAAATGAAATGTTTCCATTTGCATTAAAAATATATTACAAAATAATATAGTTACTTCTTAAAGTTTTCATATAACTTATGTGGTTTTATATAGCAAGGTTTAACAGAAGTTGTCTCTTTTACTCTGTAACATTCCTTGCTTTTTATTTCACAAAGCAGCGGATTGATTAAGGACCTTAAAAATGTTTTGGAAGGGTGTATGTTTAGAAATATGGCAGAGTTTGTGTTATTTAGCTTTATTTTCATTGTTGTAAACTATAACCAGCTGGTTGCTTTTGGATATAATTCATAAACGTATAGTTGAAGCCTCAAAAAAAAATGTTGAATCAATTTGTTGCATATTTTTTGAGTTATAGAGGTTTTAATTAAAAAAAATATCAAAAACAAGTGAATTTTTTATGAAATTTTTAAGAGGTGAAAAATTAATTATGACATAACTTTTGAAGCACACCATATACTGGTTTGAAATTGTATGTGCAATTAGTACTTATATGTACACTTCAAATATAGTTGGTAACTGAAGTGTGCTTTAAAAATAACTAAATTGCAAGTAACGAAAAGTGTGTAAATAACTCTACTTTTCACAATTTTCTAAATTTTCGGTTTACCGTGTATGCTCACTTTAAAAACTTTTAAAGCATGTATTGTATTCTACAAACAATTACGATTAATTTGATATCTTCTTTATCTTATGTTCAAGTGGCGACCGTGGCCTTAACCCTCCACTTGGCAGATGGTAAAGCCTTGTTTTCACTATGTCAAATTCAATGACAATGTCGTCAAATAAATTAAAACATTGGCAAATGCTATTAGAAAACGGTATATCGACTGAGTTAGATCAGGAGAGGTCTTCAGTCGTATACATGCGCTGCTATACCAGCTATATAAATATTTTTGGTGAGGTGTGCTTTCAGAATAAACCAACTTTTAAAGATAAAATATTCTGCGATTTTTAATGCGTAATTTTTATTACAAAAACATTTTAATTTAAGGCGCATTTGGAAAATACGTCGAAACGATCTAAATCTTTTTATAACTACTAGTCCTTACATCGTTACATATATCTGTAAAATGCTTCAAACACATTTTCTCTAGAAGTATGTAAAAACCCTGATTTACTACTTTAAATGATGCTCCTTTTTGCAGTCAGAATATTTCTAGCGTAGTACCAAATCACCTTTTTTTCGACAAAGGTTCTGATAGTTGCTCTTACTTAATTGCAGCCTTTTGTCCAATTGGCTCCACTTTTTGAAATAGCGGTACTTGAAACTTTGCTTATTTTTTTTTTATTCTATAAAAAACTATCTCGAAGTCGGTTCTCTATAACTATAACGGATTGGTCGAGCCGTTGTTTTGCGTTAAAGCTCCTCCAATTAAGAGGTAAAAATTTAGTAGAGGTTCAAGAATGATAGAATACAAGATTGCGCATTCCTGCGGGTGATGACGTCAAGATAGCAACGAATAGGAAAGAGTAATTGGAGATGGAGGAGAG